AGCAATTCTTTTCGATCAGTGATGATCAATGTCCTCATAGTTGCTACATCCAGTGTATTACAAGATCAGTGATTAATACCAACCAACTTCGCCATGTTTCACTTTCAAGCATTCGGACTGTTGACGCACGCGCACATCACCTTTAATAGCGGCCGGCATGTGTGTCCACCGGAAAAAGTTCCCCGGAATATTCGAACAGCGTTGGGAAAACATACGAATGGTATTTTGCGTGAACGTTCTCCGATATACCTGAAGTTGCGAGAGTTCACCAGAAAATTGGAATGTCGTGTCCTTCACCTCGTTGTAACGGCTTTGCTGGGCTCCAACCACAAGCACGCCACCCTCGGCAAGTAAAGCACCTTCTGGGGCCGAGAGCCTCGCAATCACATTACCGTTGTGATTGCAAGAGAGCTTGCGATGTCGCGATGAATAAAATATCACAAAGTTATGCCACCCGTTTAGAATCTCGGAACGATGCAACGGAATAAACCTGGAAAGAGAGACAAACAGTTTCAGCAATGAATAAGGAAGCGGACTAGAAAACACACTGACTCCTGTGATGTTTTGCCAGTGCGCCTACAGTTTCTGAAGGAATGAATAATGTCAATGATAATAACTCAAAGTGGAAGTGATTCAAGTCCGTATGTAAACAAACGGCTTGTTTACATTTTTAACTTGTATACTTTTGAAATGCGTTGTGTTGTCTGAATAGATCTAACAACATTTACGTTCGTCATGCCTTTAACTGAATATGAACTTGTGTTTTTGATGAGAAAGATTCGAAACACGCGAAATTTGGGCAAAATTTTATCTCGGATCTCGCATTGTTATGCGCATAACATTTGCATACCAGGAATAAATAATCATCAGGTTTGGTACGCCACTGATCTCAACCTTTAAATCTGGACTTCTAAGAGAAGATGTAATTTATTACGCACAAATGGCGCTATGGTTACCTTTGTTGCCCGTGAATATACACCCAAAGTCCCGCGGTTCCAAAATGAACACTGAACTCGTTCAATTGATCTGGAACTGCGTACGATATCAGCGTGAATTCCTCATGTGGAGACGGGACTTTGATCCAAAATGCCGCTGTTATTGCGGTGAACGTCTTTACCCAGAAGCTATTCTTTAAGATATAGTTGACACGGTCCTGACTTCGTTGTGGAAATATCAAATCAAATTTACCTACGAAACAAAGAACAGTATAAATCATTACATATATAATCCATGGCTATTCACTGCATATCTATTTGCAGAAGAGAGAGATATTATGTTATGTAGTATGACTTCAAGGAAAAAGTTGACATAGAAATGTGTGAATTTTCTCCACCAATGTTATCGTTTTCATTCGTTTCAATGATAGATCTTAGACATGTTTGGCAAGAAAGATATCAGTAAAGCTGTTTAAACACTCATTCGCCGCTGGCGACTCGTGAATAGGTCCCTACCGGTGGAAAATTTTGGCAAAAAGTCGAAAATATTAAGTTAACCAACCAATACCGTCGGGCATCTTACCAGGTCGTTTTTGACAAGCCGAAGGGCTAACTTTTGTGAAATTCTCCGAATACTTCTGAGCCCTCAGGCGTTTCCATGAAAACAAATCTCCGGCTGCATTTCCAGGATTAAACGCCAGTAAAGCAATAAAATGCGAGGAAAACAATACCGACCACAAGTTGAGACTTGTGATGTCTCCAACGAAACCATCACCGATCCTGATGGTACCATTATAGATAGCAGACATGGTGACGTTCAACTTTTGATTAAGTCGCGAACTCTTATGTGTACCATCTTTGTACAAAACAGCGTGGCTGTGAGACTTTGACCATTCAAATATTAGATGAAACCAGTTATCATCAGTTATCACATTTTCGAAGATGCTGCAAAGAGTTCTAAATGTTAGCGGTTGCCTTACTCTAAACTAACTAACTAAACGGAAAAAACTCGGTAATTTTATTTGCACTATACTAAGGGACTGTTCACATGATCCCGTTCAGCCGAGACTCAACGAGGCGTGGGATGATTTTGAGGTATTGAAATGAGTATACAACACGATCCTAGTAATCGTGTAGTTATCATAACAATAGCATGTTCTTATTTGGTGTCATAAACACTTATTTCAATACCTCAAAGTCATTTCACGTTTCGTTAAATCTCCGCTAAGCGGGATCATGTAAACAGCCCCTAAAATGGCAGTGTTTACGTTCAAGAGCCGGTTGTTCAAATCCAGGTTATCGCTAACCCTGGGTTAAATTTTAATCCGCTGTTTTAGTTTATGTGCTTCTTCACCACTACTCGTTTCAAAAATATAACTTCTCAGTGAACCAGAAAATACGCATGGAAAAATATTAAACTTGTATAAACAAACGATGAAAAAATTAGGTTACATGAACCTGCTTTTGAACAACTGGGTCCAGAAGTTGAAACAGAACATCTGTCACGGCCAAAGACACAACACTTACAACTTAATTGTCGAGTTTGAACATTTGAGGAAGAAATCAACATTTTTTGGCATCGCACTTCGCGTCATCTTCAGGAAAGTCCCAGACTCTGAACCAAGTTCAAATATGGACGCCTGATTACCATAATGGCTCACGTTGACTCTCATCCACATTGACAAGGCAAATGTTTCCAATGAAGGTATGTAGATCGAGTCTATAGTCATGTTCAGATTACCTGGAAATCGTATATCAAAATCACCTAAATGAAGAAGAGAAAAAGTTGATTAACTTGTTCTAACTCGTTAACAAGAAAAAGTTGATTAACTCTTTAACCAGAAAAAGTTGATTAACTTGTTCTTTTTTTCAGTTAAAACTTCTGCAGATCACAAGGACTTGCTGACTTAGGGCTGTTTTATACCATCGCGTTTTCTTCTACGTGCGTGCACATAAACGTTTAGAATCATTTAAAGGATGCTTATAAAATCAACGATTGAATAGATGCATAAGGTTGGATTCCGTTGATGATTTGCTGTGTTTTTTCTGGTATAAAATTAGAATCAACAACTTAGAAGGTTTTAAGCCTTTACGTGCGCGTACGTACGTGCAAAACACGCGACAGTGGAAAGCAGCCCTTAGGGCAATGTTCCTTTTTTTGTTTACATGATCTTAGTGGCTGGGGAGTTTCTGACAGACGATTATGCCATTCTTGAATATTATCGGTGCATTTCTAACGTTTTCTGCAGCAAGAGAAAGTCTCACCTACCTAAATCAGGTTCAGAACTTGGCACAACAATTGCTGATACACGACCGTCTGTCGGAGGCTGATAAAAAGATCTCCAATCAACTCGAAATGTCTTTGTGACGACGGAGAAACGTGGCTCGTTGTACATGCGAAGGATTTCACCGGGAGTAAACCATGACGTATCTCCCACGTAAAATCTTGTCAGGGTCAAATTTGCACCCGAGTTTCTGTTTACTTTGCCAGGAGAAATTTGATCAAAGCCTGGAACGAGTGTTCCAACACCTCCGATATTAATGGTATTCTGTGACCCTGAGTTTTCGCCGGCCTGATCAAGTATATTGAAGGTCGTCTGTTTCAAACCATCGCGGTAAATTATTATCTTGGTTTTGGCGTGAAATATAAAGCAGACTTGACTCCATTCGTCCACTGGAATTGTGAAGTTGAAGCGTCTACAAAGAAAGTTTGTTTACTCGCTATAAATGAAGATTGTATCAGGCCATCTCTTTCACTATTGAATTGAATTCCATCTTTCACTATTGAATTGAATTTCAATTGGGCATTGCAGTTATTTTTGTTCTACAGTGTATTTGAACACAAATAAACTCCTGATTGTGGGACGAACGAAAGAGGGCCAAAGGTAGAAACATACAATAATGGAAACCAAACTAGAAAAGTTACATAAGAAGAACTTCACTTACACAACATGGCCTCCGAGATGAAGAATGACATTTGTTTCGTTGAACAACAAAGCAATTTCTCTGGGATTGCTGGCGGTGGCGTAGCTAAACACGACACCATTTCTGGAGTGTGGTTTCACCCAGACGTGAACAGCAAGATAGTGGAAATTTGGCCCAGTCAAAGACACTGAAGTGTCGTGATCTATCGTGCTGGAGTTGTACTTGAGAAGAAAATTACCTGAAATTGAAATTAGCAAAATTGATAAAACTAGTGTTGACCTCTAGAAGATTAGTTCCGTTTCCCCCTGTATAGTAACACTGGATCAATAAGAGATGATCCTTGCTGGACCTCTAGGAAGAACAGTTTAATTAGAACTGATAGAGCTATCCAGTATCAATAAAGTTATTTTTGTTTAGGTTTCCTGCTGTAGTAACACTGGATCAATAAGAGATGATCCCTACTGGACCTCTAGGAAGAACAGTTTAGAACTGATAGAGCTATCCAGTAAAAATAAAGTTAGTTTAGTTTAGGTTTCCTCCTGTAGTAACACTGGATCAATAAGAAATAATCCCTACAGGACCTCCAGGAAGAACAGCTTAGAACTGATAGAGCTATTCAGTATAAATAAAGTTAGTTTAGTTCAGGTTTCCTCCTGTAGTAACACTGGATCAATAAGAAATTATCCTTACTGGACCTCTAGGAAGAACAGTTTAGAACTGATAAAGCTATCCAGTATAAATAAAGTTAGTTTAGTTTAGGTTTCCTCTTGTAGTAACACTGGATCAACGAGAGATGATCCTTACTGGACCTCTAGGAAGAACAATTTAGAACTGACAAGGTTATTAGTGATCAAACCTACCAGTCTTTCGTATCTCGCAAAGGACTCCGGTGAAATGATGAGGACACTTGCAAATATGATGCGGGAACGACAATGTCTCACAATTTTCAACGCAGCTTCCCCCGTTTCGACATCCGGCGCTTTGGCATAACGACTCAGTCTGGAACAAGGAGTGAATATGAAATCGATTGGGGCCGGTTGTATCAAGCCCGTTTAGCTTAAACAGTGGTTAAGTTCAAAATGACTCGTTCACGACAATTACTACAAAATGGAAAGCGGTCTTAAAACAACACACCTCATTAGAGTCCTTGATCTCGTAATACTGGAATCCATTCTCTCGTATCAGGCTCCCAGGTCGCGCGGAAGATCTTGACTTAGTGTTCAGTTCACATTTGTGAAGCGGAATGCCGCTGACTTGAAAGTTACACGAACTGCAGCGGGCCTCGCTGAGACATTCGGCGACACAGTCTTGAAGCGAGAGGACGTCGTGCGTGGAAATGACGTAATGCTTGAGACGGGAATCTAAAACATATGAATGAATTGTCGGGTTCCAACAAGCGGTAAACCTTACAAACAAATGGCCAACATACGACGACGCTTGATAAAACAATGAAATTCATAATAGCAAAGAAAAGACGCTTGGTTAGTTAAATTTCAGTTAATCGGGTTCATATGAACAGCCCCTGACATTATGCAGAAGAAACAGGATTTAAAGAAGCTGCAAAGTTTCTCGTACAGCAGCAAATAGAGGCGCCCTAAAAAACCCTCCACCTGGGGGACAAATTGTTTCCACAAACTAATAAAACTTTCATAAATCTATTTGGACACGACGGAATATTGACTAATCATGATATATTACTTACTGTCCATTACGAATTGGAAGTATCCGTCATTTTGACATTTTCCTCGGAAAAGGGTGTTCCCAAGTTGACCAAAAAGTCCTAATATGATCCACGTTATACACACATACCCTCCGGTAATGTTCGGAATTTTTATCATGTCTATATAAAGTTAGAAATTGGCCATTAAGTTTAGACAGCGCCACAAATATTGAAATTAATATGTCAAATGCAAACGTGATCGACACTTTGGCGAAAAGTATGACAGATCTGATTATTTTAAAGTCAATTTTGATTGCCTGCTGCCTGCTGTAGTTCGTAATAGTTGATCAATAAGAAATTATCCTTACTGCATAGACTTTTAGTTTAGAACTGATAGAGTTTTCTAGGATAAATAAAGTTATTTTAGTTCAGGTTTCCTCCTGTAGTAACACTGGATCAATAAGAGATGATCCTTACTGGACCTCTAGGAAGAACAGTTTAGAACTGATAGAGCTATACAGTATAAATAAAGTTAGTTTAGTTTAGGTTTCCTCCTGTAGTAACACTGGATCAATAAGAGATGATCCTTACTGGACCTCTAGCTAGGAAGAACAGTTTAGAACTGATAGAGCTGTTATCCAGTATAAATAAAGTTAGTTTAGTTTAGGTTTCCTCCTGTAGTAACACTGGATCAATAAGAGATGATCCTTACTGGACCTCTAGGAAGAACAGTTTAGAACTGATAGAGCTATCTAGCATAAATAAAGTTATTTTAGTTTAGGTTTCCTCCTGTAGTAACACTGGATCAATAAGAGATGATCCTTACTGGACCTCTAGGAAGAACAGTTTAGAACTGATAGAGCTATCCAGTATAAATAAAGTTAGTTTAGTTTAGGTTTCCTCCTGTAGTAACACTGGATCAATAAGAGATAATCCTTACTGGACCTCTAGGAGGAACAGTTTAGAACTGATAGAGCTATCCAGTATAAATAAACTTAATAAAGTTAGTTTAGTTTAGGCTTCCTCCTGTAGTAACACTGGATCAATAAGAGATGAACCTTACCGGTCATCCATAGGTAAGAAAAACTAAGTCAGTTTATGTAGTTTACGCTTTCTATAGCTCCTGCAGTAACTGAGAGATTGTTACGAAAGGGAGATAAATTTGACGTATCCTAGATATAAAGACATTGCATACTATTTCCCTGCACTGGCCCCTAAAAATGTTTAAATATAGCTACATACTTACCTCAAGATTCTATACACACTACACAGCGGCTAGATAAATCCTTTGACAGCCTCCGGAGTAAATTGCAGCTCTACAATATATGAGGATGTATAAAACAGTGCATATTAAACATATTCACATATCCAAATTAATCTTCACAGAACGCATTGTCTGTGCATCAATGTTAGTGCACTGTTACAAACCCATTTTTTTACAAACGAAAAAAATTCATAATAAACATTAAACTCACCGGATTTGAATCGGTTTTTTTTCAAAAATCCTTCGTTTGACGAAGATGTCGCCGGTTATACAAATCGGATTACCAGTTTAAGAATTAATCAGCTGCGAAAATGATTGTAACGGCGATAGCAGTCTCAAAGATATAAAAATTATCAACAGCCTTAGAGCACTTACGACTATGCTTCACAAGAATTCCTTGAAGATATAATTGCAGCAAGTTTATCGGGAAACTGTTATCTATTGTCTTCGAAAATTGATGCAGTCGAGTTGAAAAAAAAACTCCAAAATAAACTATTAAACTTAATACAAAATATACACTTTCGAGTTCCCTTGATTGTGTCACGGCCTTATTATGAAATTTGCTTTGACAATTTAATTTTATTTTAGCTGAGCAGCTGTAGAAAATAGATTAAATTTGCGTAGTTTTGTTGGATCGAGGTAAACAACGCGACAAAAGGCGCCATGAATGGGAGATTTAAATGAAAACCGTTTTGAAAACAATTTAAGAAAAGTCTGAAAACCATAGCTATGAATTTATGTATTCTGCTTTGTGATTTAAATATCGTTGCTTGGAGTCAAAATTTTTAACAAAGCAATGGGATTTAGCAGTAATTAAAAACAGTGTTTATTAATAATTTTATGACTTATTTTTTCTCATGCTTCCAAATGGATGTATTCAGGCAATTAGAAATTGAAAACTCTCCACTGCTTTGACGCCGCGTACGAAATTCCGGAGAACAAAAAAGTAGTACATGTGATCATGCAACGCGTTAAGGTCAAGTTGCACGGAACGAAAATGTTGGAAAAACGACAAGTTTCCTTTGTAAACACAACAGGTTTCGTGCAGGTTATCAGTTCGTGTATTTGATATACTTGAATGATTGCAGACCTTTTTAAAACATTATATTTCCCAACTTGAATACATAATTGTAGCTGAAACATGCATTTGTAATTCTTGATGGTTCATGAAACGTTTCCCAGTTTCCGCAAGCGTGTAAGCATTGAGGAAACCATTTTTCTTACTTATAGGAAGTAAAAATGTTTCAAACAACAAATTTAGGAATAAGGGACATCTTTGGAAACGCTTTCTAGTTGAGAGAAACCCGGCTACAAATCGCTATTTGAAGTATAGTTTCTCTGCTTTGAACAAATTAAACACATATTTACAATCTTCAGTCTTCACCTAAACTCGGAAATGGCCAAAATCTGACTGCGAAATGCGATTTACAGCTTGTTGCCATTGCCGCAAAACGTTACGTTTAACTGAGGAGTTTAAGCTTGAATCATGCTTTTGTAAAAAGCTACGCCAAAATTCATTTCATGAAATTTCATGAAAAAGACTATTGGGCTGAATTTTCTGATTAAATGAAAATTTTCGGTTTATTATATTTTCATTCGTGATCATTCAAAGGAATCTGCTTCGTGGTCGAATACTCACAATTGAAATGTAAGCTGGGCGAAAAATTTCGCTCATTCGAAAAATTCACTTGCACAGAAATATTTCCCTTGCAAAATATTTGCATAATTTCCTTCGAATTGAGATTAGACTTGTTGAGCTAATTTGTTTCCGCCGTCAAAATTCAAGATGGGAAAATTACCTTTGCTGACGTGTTTATGAGATAAACGTCAATTAACAATGTCAATTATAAACTATGAATAGATTATTCCCTTATTTTCCTATTTCGCTTATGAATACGGGGATATCGCAACTCAAAGTGTCTTTGATAATCATACTGACACAGTGACACACATTACGTATAAGGTCTAATCGATACGCAAATAATTCAGACGCTAAACAGCGTATCACTTACATAGAATACAAACTGGCTTGTTATTTTTTCTATACGCGGGTGCATGGTATAATTGGGGCTAGATAAGCGCATAAAAGGGGAGGGTGACACTCCACCCTATAAATTAAACGCATTGTTCATAAATTCAGAGCTGTACAAACTTATCCTTGGCACGGTTGTCCGATAAGGATTACGCAATGTTTGTTTTCAAATCAGCACTGATTTCCGTGGTTCTAAATCAAGTTTCGTGTTGGCAAAGAATAAACACATGACACATCCAGATTCTGCGAAGGCTTCGTTTGAAGAGGACTCCATTAGGAAGCTGAGGGTGGCTCAGAAAATGCCACTTATGTCCAAGTATATAAATATACAAAACGTTCACAGCGAACTTTAATTACACAATTCGTCAAAGACATTCAAAGTAGACACCATATTCATCACTATCGAATTACACTCGCTTCTATTGATGTCAATATGATCAAAATTATTCCTTCGAAATTTCAAATATCCCCAATCCAATCTGGGACAGAAACAAACAATAACGTAACAATAACTTTCACACAAATTAATATTGTCGGGTGAAACCTTTGACTATATTCCGGGAATTGAAATTCCATGCAAGTAATTTCGAAATCATGTGGTCTGCATGGCTGATTAAAATAAATAGGATCTTTGGATGCGAAAACACGGAGTGGAGAACTGGAATATCTCATGCATGAAGTAAGTTGAATTTTCCTAGATCAATGAAGTGTTTTTAAATAAATACGGTCATTTTAACATATTGTAATGAATATAAACTCTTTAACTTTACTATTGTCATTACTTTATAGTCAAAGTTCCTGTATTTAGAGAAAAACAGTCGCTTTAATGGAGAGTAACCAAAAAATAAATCGATAACCAGCATAACCTTGTCGCGTAACTGTCGTGCACAGAGACTGAGACAGTGCAGTCGGCAGTGCAATCGTATTTTGATCCTAAATTGCATTTTCCAAAGCGTATATTTCAAGCAATCCCTTAAATCAAGCGAGATGAACCAGGGCTTCAATACCATATTTTATTTATCTTCAGATTCTCCTGGTGTCTCATTCCGCGTTTAAGAAATTCCCGCCTGTAATCTATACGACTTCCTTTGGGGTGGTCATATGACTTAAGGGTTAAACACACAGTCGTAGCGAGAAATAAATCATTCTATAAGGCGCGGTTTTTATTGTATGTTTTGTAAACAACCCTATCGAACACACAGCGAAAGCTTTCTTCATTCTGTTTCGAAGAGAAATGGCGAGAAGAAGGTAATTTGAAGGCTACGATGAGGAAAGATTCGTAGATTAAGTTCAATTACTTTCAACCGTCGCAGACTGAGAGAAGAGTCGTTTTCAAACGCGGATTTAAATCGATTTTATCGACGTTCAAAGCAAGGAGCTCGACACTTGAGGTACTACATTATAGTTTTAATGTTTCCTAAACGGTTTGATTTTAGATTTATTCTTGATTTTGTGAATATATGCCTGATGCTTGATGTGGATTTCCTGAATTAAGGCGTAATATCAGCGTCGCACAGGAATTATTGCTCAGTTAGTAAATTACTTTCTTCTCTTAAATGTTGAGTGTATCCGTCTGTGTCCATAGCTTACTGTAAGAGAGTTATCACGATCTTACGTCGAAGCGATAGCTCAGCGTTACGACTGTATTTTAGTCGTAAAGCTAAATTTAAAGCTCGCTCACACTCAAACTCATTGAGTGGGAGATCTCAATCACGTCCTAACGTTTCCATGACAGTATTTCCATTCGAATAACGCTTGTTTTACGCAAAACCTTTCTGTTGAATAAAAATGGAGTTTCATATTTATCAGTAATAACAGAATTTAATATCGCACTCGGTGAGACTGTAGTACGAGAGCGAGCTTTTTAAACACAGGTTAACTAGTCTTATGAAAGGTATCAATATATTTTCTGGGGAGTCTAAATTTGCTGTGGCTGGTGCTAGGTCAGGAAATTAAGTACGGCTACGAGATTTTCTTAGCGGCAGTTCCCTAATAAATCGATAGCGGCTGAGTCGAGGAGACAGCGTTCGTGGATTGTAAACTCTTTACACTAAAGAAAGGAATTTAGGGATTAATAATGAAAGGGGCGTGTGTAACCTCGTACCCAGGTTTTTCTCCCTTGTGAATTCCTGCAGACTTCCGGTTCCAGACCTCCTCATTTCTTCACCGACTTTTACGTGTCTCAGACTCAATCAACGATCTTTCAATTTTCCTTTCATTATTCACAAATGAATATTTCTGGCCGTTAAATTTATTTCCATTTATCGTTATTGATGTTGTGAAAATGTTAATGATTAATAAATGCGTCTTGTTGATGTAATTGTTCTTTGTTTCCTTTCACTTTCACTTTATCGACTTTCACTTTACTTAACATATTAATTTGGTGTTGTTTTTAACTTATTTGTTCACACAATTGAGGTTGGAATAGCATTATGTTATTCTTTCAGTGTTTTTGATGCACCAATCGAATCGCTTCAATGCACGTTGCTTTTCTTTGGTTTAAATAACATTCAATGCTGTACTATGGTTCGACACAAATCCTAAGCTCTGATTCTCTCTCTTGTCTTTTAGTTCTGTGTCTAAAACGTTTCCTTGATGGCTGAAGCGCATTCTGCAGCTTTACGAGCTACTGTATCAGTCGGGGAATTTGCGCTCACCATCAGCACTGACAGTGTAGAAGTTGCAAAAGAAGTGACAAAAGAAGTGACAAAAGAAGTGTGTGGAACAATCACTAAAGTAGCATTAGGTCTTGGCGCTCTGTATGCTGGTTATAGTTTGTTAAAACCATTAGTCGACGCTGCAGTTAAAAAAGCTCTGGGTGGAGACCGCGATGATCAGGACGCCCGTGACATTCGACCAGGATGTTTGCATGTTGACTTACATTGTTTCACAAACAAAAGGTTCCTGGAAGTCTTGGAGGATTACGAATCAGGAAAGATGAAGGAACGCTTGCAGGAAGAACTGTCGCTGGTTGGAATTAATATGGAAGGAATGAAGGTGAAGATTGAAAACATGGAGGAGGTGAATGAAAGAAAGAAAGAAATTATTAAAAGGTACACGAGACTTTCCATCATTAGGAATGTGAAAATATAGATTAGTCTGTCACTGCATTCAAAGTGTCGAAAATTCTTCATCCTTGCCAATACGAGTGTGATTCTTGGTATAATTTGTTAGCAGAGAAGGGTTGAGGGGAATGTTGATGATAGCACGTAAAATATTCCTGTTTGCCTAAAACTACCAGAAAATTACAAATTTTTAATGAGTCATCTGGCCTTTGACATTGGAACGACCACATCAAAGGATCACACGATCCAATTTTGTTGGATCCAATTCACTTCTGATGGATATTTATAGTCTGTTGACTTGCAATGTACAGCAAGTCAACTTAAGCCAATTGCAGTACTTATTTAAAATCATCCCCGCCATATACATTGGGTTAATCAATAACAGACTATATTCCATACGTTAAAAGTCAAATAGATCCAACAAAATTGGATCGAGTGAACATAGCTTGAATCATCTTTTCTACAGCCCGGAACAAGAAGAGATGAGGGGATTTTTCCCCGCAAAACTTTACCATGTTTAGTCTAATAATTTCACTTTGCGATTCAAATGCTTGTCACAAATGATCACACACATTCAAACTCGCACTAAACTATATCACTGATGTGGTTGAAATGGATTTAATATCACTGACTCAGTAATACATGCAAAGAATCGCTCTAAGACAAAGTATTTACGACCTGCCTTGCAAACAACGATATCAAACACACAGTGAATGTCTTTTTCATTTTGTTTCAAAGAGAAATGGCGAGAAGAAGTTCATTTGGAGGCTACGATGAGGAAAGATTCCTAAATAAAGTCGACGATAGGTTACTTTGTCCGATCTGCTTCAAGGTGGTCAAAGATCCAGTGCGATGCCCGAACGAACACCATTTTTGTCGTTCGTGTATTCAAAAGTGTTTGAATGAAACCTCCGAAACCTGTCCAACTTGCCAACACCATCTCACGGAAGAAACCTTGGCCAAACCAACGAGATTTTTTATGGAAACGTTGGAGCGTCTCAAGATTCGTTGCGATCACGCAAGCCGTGGCTGTCGAGAAGTGGTCGAGCTTGAATTTCTTGATCAACATGTCGAGAGATGTGGCTATTCACCAACATGTTGTGCAAATACGGGCTGTTCTGAAGTCATCAACCGAAACGAGCAAGAACGACATGAGAACGAACTTTGTCGTTTTCGTATCATTGTCTGTGACGAGTGCGGAGAACAAGTGATAGGGAAGTCGAGAGCTGTTCATATCTGCTTCATGCGGAAAGAAATCGATGATTTAGTCAAAGAAAGGCTTGAAGAAAGAAAGGAATTCAAAGAGAAAGAACTGGCTCAAGACGAGTTTAATCGAAAGTTGATGGCCGATGTTTC